AAATCAACTTTTAGCTATAGTGCTGCTTTGACTCATGTTTGAAAAATCTTCAAATTTCTTGTGGTAGCCATTTCTGCCTTAACGCTTGGTGACACATAGCACCGCCTATGTATACTTAGCCCCTCCCAGGAGTTCAGTCCCCAGCCAAGCTCCTCCCTAGAGCTCAGTCTGCAGCTGAACTCCCGCCCCACCGAGCACCCTTCCCCCAAAGCATTAATGTACTGAAGTGGGAGTGTGGGAAATGGTAGGAGGTTCTTAAAGAGACAGAGACCAATTTTTAAGTTTTTAGATAGGCTATGATGCAAATTCAAATTCATTGTTGATATATACAGCATTTTCATAACAAATGAAGGTAACATACTTACTTGATTGTGGTATAGAACTGAACTATGTACCTGGAAAATACTACTGAGCTACTGCTCAAAAAAAATTCTAAGATTATATTTCAGATATTTCATTAAACAGCCCATAGATAACGTATTTATTCGTTCTATTTTGACCAAATGCAATTGCTGCAAATGCTTTAATCAAAACACTACAACTGCCTATTTTTCCGCACACCACCGTGCAACTTAATCCTTGGTTCAGTGTGATGGGTCACATATGAAGCCTGTTTTTAACAGAACATAAAAACCAAAACAACGCAATGCAATATGTAGTGCAGCTGTAAATTACTGAACACATAGCTCACACCCAGCGGAGCTATTTCCATTTTGTCACACAAGGAACCTTATGTAAAGCATAACAATTGCTTTCCCAGGAATCTGCTATTGATTGTGGAATGTGTTCAAAACGTGTTTGTGTTTGAGAGCATGTGTGTATTTTACACACCCGGCGGGTCTTTTCCATGTCTCCACAAGGCAGTCTTTTAACAAAATCAATGCCAGTCAGTGGGGTGCCGGTGGGTGGAAGCAGGATTGAGGCGTCCATCATTAAATACTCTACATTCAAGGGTTTACTCTGTAAACAGAAAACAATGAGCCACACCACACAACAACCAGAGCAAAAATAAACAAACATTTAACATTAGGGCTGCACAAATTTTATATATATTTTATTGTGAGGTCAATGTGTGCAAATACCAACACTGGAAATGACTGCACATAGGATCAAGGCACAAACTATTTCCTCCATCCTGGGACTAAATTACAAATAGTCAAATTGTTGGGGGGCGGGGG